GTATACTCTTGGAAGTCAAGCTTCCTCTGTGCAAGGTGCCGTGTGACCCGTCACACACTGGCAAGTTAAATAGTAATGCTACCAGTGCGCCTTGTTGAATGTGGCTCGTGAGGTCTTAAAATTGGCGTTGCGGCGTGTTTTCCTCCCCGATGAGCAATGTAAGCTCAGCGGCATATTTGCCTGCTTCTAGACCCGAAGTACATTTTTAATGAAGTATACAATTCTTAATCGCTGCTACCCCAAACGCAGACGGTACCTGCAGATTAACTATTTTGATATAGCGCTCGTGAATCTTTATTTATCTCTGAATGTGGGCGGGGGACCCACACGTATAGGCATGTCAGCGCCAGGCATCCTTGTGGTTAGCTTCGAACTTTTTTTAAATATCTCAATCACAGTTTGATCTAAATTTGTGAGCTCCAAGGCGGGGAGTCAAAACACTTTATTGATAATAAAGTGTGCTGCATGGAGACCGAGCACATCGTCGGGTGAGGTACTATTTGGCCAAAAATGAGAGAAATCATTAGAGAACACGTCAGCATCCATCAAATTCTTTTTTTAGCACATCGGTCATGCGTTTGGCTCGGACTCTTAACTCCGTACGCACGTGCGGACTCTCGACGAATATAGCAGGCGCAAAAACATGCAGATAGTGAGTAGATACCTATGTGTGCGAAGGTTTCTCATGTAGCGTTCACTTTTGCTGATGTGAATTGCGTATAATAAGACCGAGATATAAACCATGCAGTTGTACCAAATCTGAGAGGGTTTCGTACTCAAGAATACAGAATTTGTGCTGATACCAATAAAAGCTTGATACAGAAGTAGCTTCATACATCGATTCATCTCGATTTCATATTCTTTGCCAACCTTCTCTTCATGTAATTTAGGCAATGCTGATAACATCAGCCTCTCAGTACCCTACTAACACATCAACGGCCGAATTTGGCGACCAAGGCAACAAATTTGATCATTGTTTCAATTATTGATAACGCATTGCCATGGTAGATTCGCCTTGACGTTCTACTCTACAAAACAGCTCAATTTTAAGAAGGCAGCGCCATCACAAATCCAAAAAGCATTTTATGTTTATAACACTACCACGACTTCTCATTGGAAAGCTGCAGATCTGACGTCCTAAGAGTACCCTAGATCGATGCAATTCCATAAGAGTTGGCCTACACTGGTATTGAAGAATTTGACCCACGTTGTCAGCACAAAATCTTGAAAATCTCGCACATCCTCTCGTATACAAGCTAAATCTGTAGTTAATCCGTCTGATTTTTAGAATGCGTGGTACGCATGGCATTCATTAAACTTTTGACAATCGATACAAAAATCAACTGGGGCTAATTGTATGACTTTACTACTGTGTCTTGTGCAGTGTTTCTGCTCGTGCACTTCAACGCCATTAGCAAACAATTGTGCCAATAATCATCTTCCTATCATATCAAGGTTACCCGTCTCGCGCATACTAACCCCGTTAGTACCAGAGCAAGCCATGGTGTTTTCTGGAGCACTGAGAGTCGACACTGTCACGACAGTTTTAAAATCTATGAGTAATATCAAATGCTCAACAGAAATGATCAGATCTTTACTACTATTATGAACCAGGTCTATCTTTAGTGTTGAAAATTTGGCATGTCGAGACCACATAGACGCTATTAACCAGCTAGATTTATAACAATCCTCTTGCATTTCGTGACTCATGCTGATCCTGGATGGAATCTGCTTGAAGAAATCAAAGACCAATCATTCGCATAAACTTATATTAACTTCAGACTCTACGCAGCGTAGTCTGGAAATAGTAGAGAGCAGAGGCTGAGACGAAAGGGCTTGGTCGCTTGGTTACCTTATGATAGGTATCTACATTAACGTGAATGGTATTTTAAACATATCCTACGCCATGTCTTTTATATCGATAATTTACCTACAATTTTGCGAGGGTTAGAATATTGATCTTACATTTAATAAGAAATATTATCATGGATGTATACTTTAATGTATTACTGGAGCGAAAATATAAGAAGCCAAAAGGAGACTAATTATTTTCTTAATAATAGCCGAGAAAACGAGGCCCACCATTCGCCTCAAGACTTCAAGCGTTCTTTAGTCTTATACAGTCATGGTGGATGCACTTCAAAGCATGCATGTGCTACTTGGATCTGTATGTTTCTTTGCGCTAGTCTTTCATATCGCCAACCGTCTCTCCGATCGATACATTCAAGTCTACCGAAACTTTTCAATCCCAGAACAAGGCGATTGGTGCTCAAGGTATGGCGTCTCTGTATCAGTCCATGAACCATTGCAATTCTAACGCAGAACGTAATGCATAGAGTAAACTCAACAATTCACGCACTTGTGATCGCCACAGGCATGACCTACAGTTTCGTGCATCAGCAATGGGACGCGAATCTGCTTCCAATGAAAGAGATGCCATTGCAATTGGCCCATACGCTTTTCTCCTTTTGTACGTAGCAAACGATGTATGTCTTTGAATGCATATCATGGCTGCTGATCTGATTCGGTGCCTTTGCTGCAGCTTGTGGTTATTTTCTCTTCGATCTGGTTGTGCTGATGCTATGGCAAGTACCGATGTGGCGAGTCTTTGTTATCCACCACATGGTTGCCGTGTACGTTGAGATTATTTCAAGTGTTGCGATCCTGATTAATTTTGCTCATACTGATGGATTGCTTGGTTCAGATTGCCATATCTCATTTATACCATGCACTCAGGCTGCGGCATGGACTTGTACTTATTGCAACTCTTTCTCATGGTCGAGTTTGCTGTTATCCCGCTTAACATCACGACGTTTATGGAGCAGTTGGGTTACGGCAAAAGCAAGACCCACGAGTTTTTCTTTTACACGACGTACGTGTTTTGGTTCTTGGCACGTGTGTTGTTACCAAGTTACAACGTCTACGTACTCTGGATCAAGATCATTCCAGAAGCTAAAGCTGCTCCTGTTTGCACTGTACCCGCAGCATTTTGTGGTCACATCATTGCCGCATTTTGCATCGGTGTATTTATTTTCGTATGGACACCAGACGTTTTGGCGAAATGGCGAATGCCTGTGTTGCAAATGGAGGAGTATCCAGACTATATGCTCACGATGCGTCAGTCGATGACACCTCGCTCGAATCCGATCTTGTCGCCGATAAATGGCAACGAAAAGTGGGGCACAAATTATGGCACTGTGTCGGATGATTTGCGAGAATCTCAGTGGACATCAAAATCGATTGTTTGAGCAATAATGAACGCCCGTTACACGCTTTGAACGTGCTTTATATGTGCCCTGCTTATGTCAAGTTCGATGACATTAGTCGGCAATGCTAATTTTATGAATGAAGGTACGTGACAGAGCCATTCAAGACAAGATATACCAGCAGAAACTTAACAAGCTTGTGCTAAGCTACGGATATTGCGGCGGTGATGGTGATAATGTTATTGATTACAAAGCGAATCAGTATCGGCGCTAAATAAATGACATTTTTTTTTATTTGGTTTGCAATATCAATTCAGAAAACACTTTTCTTCACTAATGTGAAAGTATGTTCGCAATGATGAATACATTTCACACATGCAGAGATATTTGAGCATTCCACAAATTGCCATTCCATGAATCTTTTTTTTCTCGCATGTCTAAGAGTTAGCAAGCACCACATCAAGCTCCACGGGACCGTCGTGATACGAACATGGATCCGACTGGCATGGCACAGCTGCCATTTGACTTCACCCTTCCAGTACATGTTTACGTGTTTGAATTATCGAACAATATTTGTATCCGTGTGCATCATGCGCATCTGTACAACAGCGAATTACAAGATTGTTGCAGCCATCACACCGTAGGTACACTAGTACGATGTGTGACATCTCAATGACGGTTGTTCAAAGATCGGGTATACAAGTAACAACGTATCAATTTGATCAATGCATAAGCCTCACCTGATTGAGATCCGAAAGCTTAGACTTGATTGAGACTTGAGTCAATTGGTTGTGAAGCATGTGGTGTTTGTAGATGTACTAAAAACCAGAAAGATCCATCTCCTTCGAAATTACTTCGACGTGTCGTCCGGCGCGCATGAGCACGCAGCTTTTGCTTTATTGAAGAATTAATCAATGATGCAAGGCGGAGCGCTCTGAGGCAGTTAAAGCGATCCATCAGATATTACTCCACCGTGATGTACAAAGCGAAAGATAACGTGCACTTACGCCAGGACTTGGTGGGCAAACGATCTAATCATTCGATTGCATCAAAAAGTCTTGATGTGGAATCCTGATTTAGAAAGAACAGCCATCTTTTGAACGGTTCCATTCATACGATGAAGCCACAGAAACATTCAAAGTAAACACGAGCTTCATTTCGTGATGTGTCTTTCTTTTCATGCTGAAGCTAAAATCCATTGGAGGTGCTGACAGACATAGCCGTACCAAGACATTTCCTCGCGTGCACGACTTAGCGATACCAACAAAAGTAGTTAAGATCTGGTGCGGTCGGAGATTACGGATTAGTACGGCTTCAACAGACCGATGTTGTATTGCATCCGTGCAGTCGAAGCGAACTATTTGGCTGGGTGCATGGAGGCGACAAATTGTACGATAATATACAAACCAAGTGATGCAGTTTAAGTGATGGATTTTGCGTTCTCATGTGTTGAGATCTACCACGCTAACTTAAGTTTTTCTTCTGGAGATTTTAAATTCGCATCAGACACGGTATATCTTGCCGCAATAATGCACATGCTCAGATAGTGGTATAGACTTGATGACAAGGTTCCAATTTACCAAAAAATGCTGTAATGGGTCGTATCCTCGAAACTGCTCCATTAAATATGCAAAATCAATCTGTGTTATTCATTTGAAATTAAATACAATCTCTTCATTTCCATATGCGTATGCATGGGTAAACATAATACAGCCGAATTCTGTGATGCAGCACGCCCTTAAGTACGGCACAGCGATGCAGACGTGCAATTGAGAGCTTTTTCACTAAATTCACTTTGTGCATCACTCGAATGAAAGCGTATATGACGTCATATTGTTTCCTTGAGTAGTCTAGTGAACGGAGTATATAGCTCCAGGCACCATGTTTACTTTATGACGCACTCTCCGATCCTGGGACAACATGCGTGGTGGGCCTCTTGTCACCACGTCGTAATCTTTTTTCATCAAATGCTCGAAGGATTTGTAGGATACTGCATAGCCGTCTCACTCATCGCACTCAGTGTTCTGCAAGTGTTCTTGATGACATGTTCATTCGGGGTGGGTAAGAATCTCAGCTACCCCTCCAACACCAACTGTTCCATTTGGTTGACTTCACCACCTTACATTCCCTTTCACAAATTCCTAGGGTATAGCTCATCTAGATCTATAAGAGCATCTGCTGGAGGTAGTGAGCAAGCACTCACAACCCTATTGACCAACCCACAGTGACAAGAATGAGTTATTCCTTTTTTTCAGCGCCTAGCCACTCAACTTGCGATCTATAGTTGCACTTCAGTTGCACCGGCTCTGGTGCGGGTGATTGCGACACACAGTCGCTTCCATCCTCTACCGACCTTGGATCAGGAAACAACAGCTCGCAGCTGCTTCATAACGGTCCACCAGATAAACACTCTGGGGACCACGAAATATCGATGACTTTTCTTGTCTCAACAGCGATACACTCCGAGGACCGCAATATTCAATCGCCTGTTTTCGTCTCATTCCAAGACCCTGACTCACAGCTGCTCCTGCCTTCCAATCTTTGCTCGACATACTCAGAAATACCAGTGCTATCAATTTTGGATCATCTAATGCCAAATTTGAAAGCTATCGCAGCTTTGTGCCCATATTGAACGCGCTTCTGGGTATGGCAGTGTTGGGATTCACGACTCGCTAATGCTCCATCAGGATGAAAGTTTATGGTAATTGGCGTTTTTACTTCCAAATGACCATAACTCGTGGCGTTTCTGCCATTCCCTTTTTTAATGAGATCATGTCTCGCGTTCTGCACAAGGGCGAGATGACGTTCCGCGAGTCCTCGCTTTTTGCTTGAAAGCTCTACATAAACCTTGATATTTTTAATGGTGTTCCTGACGCAAGACGTACAACTAACGTATATGGAGTTGATATCTTCAATGCCTCTGTGTACCGTAACCATTTTCGAAAGTCGCGCGCAGTGTGTTACTGCACGACGCTTCTGAAATCATTGGGACTTTTCATGGCACAAAGCCTAGGACATAATCATTATCAGCCAACTACAGTCCCACCACATTTTTAGGTGGCTCTCTGGGACCTATTATCGAACATGGTGTCCACATAATATAAAGTAAGTCAACCTGTGCCTACTGGGACTTAACGTTCACACATGCTGCGTTCGGCGTTCGCTCTTGCGTGAGAGCCTGACCTTCGTATAGCTCAGCGATGATAAAAAGGACACGCAGTGCACAAATGATTTGACCCACCGCAGTTGAAATAATCACGACGCAATGGAGTTGTACTTTTGCTCCGATATCTCTGTCCCTCCAAAGCATTACAATTTTTCATCGCCTCTGAGGTGTTATAAAGCAACATTGTCAGCGCCAGATCTTGCCCTTGCGACATGAAGCTGGGCTCTACATCGGATTCGACGCCCACAATCATTTTGAAAAAGGTAAGGTGAACGAGAATGTTTTTTAGCGATAACCGTATCCGATCGGAGACTGTCCATAAAGATGTTATCTATTTCCGCCAACGGAAGAGAGTCAGACGCCATTGTGGCGATAAGATTTCCAAACTGCTATATATAGTCCAGCACTTCTAGCCTTGCTTGACGGAATACTTAGAGCTTCGAACGCTCCTAATACACCTCTGTGAGGCGGTGCAAAGACCCGCTATATTTGTAATTTCACTTTGTCTTAAGATGGGGGCTCCTCTTTGACCGAGAGTATTACACGCAAGTGCCCATGCTTGCGCGCGACCCCTAAGTGTGTGATCGCAAGCGTGACGCAATGCGGCTCCGACCAAGCACGGCCAAATCTATGGCCATTTTACTTTCTTTATCCAGAGGAGATGATTTTTTTGTTCCGGCCCTCAGAGGCCTAGACGCTCAATTTATTCAAGCGATCTCACCGAGGAAAACACCTGTTCTTTAAAAGGCGCCCGTTGGGTGCTCCTGGACATACCTCATCAGCTCGTTCCGATGTTGATGAGCACCTGCAGGCGAGCTACTACCGCTTTCGGCCACATGGTGGCCAATTTTCTGATTCTGTCTCGACGCAAGATAATCATGACGTGTTTAGCTAGTCGATCTGTCCCAAAGACAGGGGCTCAATTTAACATGTTTCATCCCCGCAGTAGGAGCCTTTCTTTCATGACTCAGCTGTGGAGTTGACTTCAGGTGCTACCACGTGCGATAAATTGCCGTCCTCTTTGCACTGAAGTTGCACTTTCTGTTCCGCATTCTGTTACCTAAGCTGCCCAAGATAACAAAACTTGTCTTGTTATACTAGACATACACGTTTTACTATTTCATAAAACTTTACTCTTTGTAAATACCAATATTTTGTTATTTGCGGTATTTGATTTGCGATTTTCAGCTGTATAAGTCAATGTGTAAGGAATAAGTATAGAATATTATAGTACTATTTGCGATCTACACGAGGTATTCAGTTTGCATATTTATTCAAGAGCAACACTACTTCGGTCTGAGTAAATACTAGCTATGTGATTTACTGTGTGACAATGAAACTATCTGTACTGCATGTCTGGCCCAACATGAAATGCCAATCTTCTTCTTAGACCCAACATGTTGGAATTTCGGACACTCAAACGAAAGGACATGTATTTTTTATATAATATGCATACTGGCGCAAAATACATCCTTGTGCATTTATACAAGACACGTTTTCCGTTTTTGAGCACACAATACCACGTACATCAATTGCTGAGGGAGGAGCATGAGAGACACATTGTGTGTAGAGCATTATTCGTTGGAAGACCTCAACACGATAAGTACTCAGACTGTAACCGCTGATGGAGGTACGAGGTCACTATGTGTGCGCGTATGAATGCTCACCTCTGGCACAACGCGTAACTCGGTTAATTTGCATCAGAACCTCCCAGCCCACCGCATATGGATCTAAAATGAACCAGAAAGAAGATGGGGCGACTACAGATTCAAATATAATTTTCAAGGGTCTCAAAAAAGAAGATGAGGCAATTAATAATTTAGGACTATGAAAAAATTAACTTACTCTGATAAATTACTCTAATGTCAAGTTGAAATAAAATATATACTCCAGTTTTGTTTACAATTCATTTGAGAGGGGTTTTTCCGTAATATACTCATAACAAACCACCTGTACTGCACTTCACACAATATCTATAAAAATAATCTCATTATATCGCTAGACCAAATGGTGCCATAGCTTAGTGGTGAAGCGCTCGCTTCACAAACGAGTGGCCAGTGGTCTGGTGCCTTGAGCAACTGTTCATACCCACACGATATAGAACTACAAAGCGACCGATTGTTTGAAGAGTGTACTAGTGACTCATCAGTATGCTAAGTAACTAGCGTCAAAGCCTCAGAGGAGGCTTTGACGCAGAGTGGATGGTTTCTACAATCTAAAATCATAGCGGCTCCAGCCAAACAGAGGATAAATATTCACAATCTTTGAGTTAGCATACTGGTGCGGAAAACAAACTCAGAGCAATATATTTTAAATAAGCGGGAGCTTAAGTGCATTTCATATTAATTAAGTCGTGCATCGCTTGTTATGTCCACTAGCTCCACACTTGGAGTCATGAGAAAAGCGTTTTGTTTCATTTTCCAGAAGCAAAGTGGCAACTCTCGCTTTCTTTTTCTTCTTCGGTCTACCTCGTTTCTTATTGATATGTGGTGCTGAAACTTGTTCTATTCGTAGATCACATTAGAATATTGGCGGTTGTAATGTTAAGTCCTGTAAACTATACGCAGCCCGATAAGTAGCTGGTAAAGATGGTATCTGCAATATCCAAACCGTTAGTCTTCTTCAAACAATACAATGCATGCTCACAAAAAGCTTGTATATTTCTGTCAAAATCCCAGCAGCAATCATATGTATCCGAAAACATAGCCGCATACTCAACAGGCGGGCTGCCAGTATGTGCAAAGGATATTTGAGAAGATAAGCCGAATCGAAAAACTGTACTGCTTGTAAGCTAGTAGTGCCTAATATTTGTTCATGTGCTTGGTGATTCTTACTGTATGGGAGCCACTTGTTGAAGAGGATAGGCAATTAGC